CAGCCGTTCGAGAGACGAAGAGAGCTTCGTCTTCTGCTTCACTCGGCGCATCTTCTTCCCATTCGGGGTCTTCATCAACCTGCATGGCCTCTCCAGGCTCTTGTTTTACCGCACTCAACTCGGCCTCGAGCTCGTCTGCACGTGCCTTCAGGGCCCAGACGGCATTCTGCAAGCCGTCCGAGGTCCCCTCAAGCTCGCCCTTCAAGGTGGACGCGGCTTTCCTTGCTTTTGTGACATAAGCCTCTACTGCAGCCTCGTTCACCTTTTTGGGAGCCTTGGTTGTACGAGTCTTGCTGGCAGGGGTCTTTGTGGTTTTGGAACTTGTGGTTTTGGAACGTGTGGTTGGTGCCATCGTGAGTTGCTCAAGGCCGATAGACTTGCGGAAATCGGCAGTGGAACATCCCAATCACCTCCGATTTATATTCTACAATGCCTATGACGGAAACCTGTTATCTGAGTGATACGAAACCAGCTCTTCGATCGCGACAAAGAAGGCGGGAGCACGAATGGGATGCTAAGGCAAGACCCAAGCGGGACAAAGGACTCAAAGGAGACATCCATCGGCACGTTTCAAGTCCCGGCACGAACTGTAGATGCTTCTGATGAATTGGGGAGCCAAATCGTCTTCCATATCTTTGCTCTCAGCGAATCTTGTTCCACCTCTGGGGTGGCATACAGTCACTATCGAATTCCAGATTCTGCCGGGTACCACGACAACACGAGGGCCGGGTTGATTCACGAGGCGATGAATGTGGCTTCAGTGAGACGAGTCATTTCGGCGGAGACTCCTATTCGGAAGGCGTGGTATTCTTAAACACCAAATCCGGAATCCTTCCAGGGTCTTCGGTGTCCTCTTGTCTTTTTTAGTGCCCAAATTCGTCCGTTTCCATCATGAATTTTCGACCGCCATGATTGCCCGCCTCGTTATTGAACTCCTCATTGACAGTACAGCCGTGTGATCAGTGTCTTATCGTGGATGAGGTGGAGTATAGTGTGACGAGGATGCGCTGAATGGGCTCATCTGGATCGTGACGACAGAACTCACCTTCGAAAAGTCACACTGTACAATATAGTACATACAGTACAGTATGAACAACAATCAAGCATGTGTCATCATCCAGATTTGTTTAAGGCTTTACTTCTCAAACGAGTTAAACTCAAGACTAGGCCAAATGAAGGTGGCTTTTCGTCGCGACATCGAAGAGCAGCCGCTAACGGCTCCGGCTGCAAGATACCGGCATAGAA